CCTGTGGTTCTGTGTTGATTTAACTAGCTAATTCATACCCATGGTACAAAATTCAAAAGTATAAGGTGTAGTTCCAATTCTTGTTATTTATCTGAAGGAACTGAAAACACTATTTCAAACAGATATCCATACCACATGTTCATTGCAGCATTTTCCACAATCGCCAAGAAGTGGAAATAACTGAAGTGTGCACTGATGGATGAGTGGGTAAAGAAAATATATATTGTATACAAATATAGTAAATATATAGAGATATACAATAGAATATTATTCAGCCATAAAAAAGGAAATCTTGCCACTGGCAACAACATGGGTGGACCTAGGGCATCTATGCTAAGTGAAATAGGTCAGACAGAGAAAGACAGATACCATATGATCTCACTTCTAAGTGGAATCTGAAAAAAAAATACCTTCTAGATACAGGGAACAGATTGGTGGTTGCCAGAGGTGGGTGGTTTGGTGGTAAGCCAAATGAAGGTAAAGGTGGTCAAAAGGAACAAACTTCCAGTCTTCAGATAAATAAGTTCGGGGATGTAATGTACAATGTGGTAACTACAGTTAATAATATTTATAGTGTATTTGAAATTTGCCAAGAGAGTATATCTGAGACATTCTCTTTCAGCAGATATTTGCAATATATGTAAATATTGAAACATCTAACTTCAAATATATCACCTGAAATTAATATAATGTCAATTGCATCTCAAAAAAAAAAAAAAACAACACAGGACACTTCCTCTTGGTAACTGTCAAATAGCTCCCTTGTCCCAGGGTTAGGCAGTGAGGCAAAAAGCATTTTGGAACTATTTAAAGAACTCTATAAATGAGGTGACAATACTGGGTAGGAAAAATTTACATACACACACACACACACACACACACACACACCGCGGATGGCATGATAAAATAGAAAGTTGCTGGGATTTTGAGTCAGATAGGCTGGATGTGAATCTCAACTCTACTGTTTACAAACTGTGAACCTGAGTTATAAAATATCTCTATACCTCAGCTTCCTAGGCTGTGAACTGGGGAGAATATTGCCTACCTTGATGTTCTATGGGTAGCAAACCAGAAGGAGGATGAAATAGACAGAAACACTCATCTTGGGGGCAAAGTTTAAGGGGGTACCAGAAACCTCAGTAATCAAGACAAACAATATTTGAATGCAATATTCCAAAAAATCAAATTAGCAAACTATTGTATGGGGGCTAGCGACTGAGTTTGCAAATACAGCTTTATTGGAATTAGAGAAGATTTACGGAGAGCCTCCAGTTCAGTGGGTGGCATTAGAAATAGGTGTCTTTCGGTGTCCTGAAATTTGGAACTTGGGTGTTTGTTGGATCCATGAATCATAGAAGACTTAATTTAAAACATTCTCTGGTGGCTCTCATGTCCCCCTAACCCCACTGCTCACAACCAAAATGGGGCTCCCTTCTCAAGCCATTTATCAGAGTGGCAGATTAAAATTATGTAACAGGAAGTTTTCTTTCATATTATGATATAACTGAATCACCAGTTCTCTACTGATAATTCATTATGTTTTGCTGCTCCTTCTCTGCGGCTCTGAAATGCTTTTTGCCATAATGATTTTAAACCTCACTTCTATAATGGCCTCCTGACGGTGTCGATCAGCTCTCCTTCCATGTACAATAATATTATTCTGCGATCTGTCTTGGGAGAATGCTTAAAAGCTTTCTCTCATTTTCTCCATTTAACTCATGTATTATCTGAGTTTTTACATTAAATGGTCATTCTTTATATCCCATGACACGTCACCTCTTTTCTAGGGAGGACACTAATATAGTACTTACCCAATTCCAGAATCTATACTAATCAAATCACGTTTCCCCACTTCAGCCAAGAGCAGTTGGTTCAGTGCGATGGCATTTAATCTGGAGGAGGAACTTATGAAAGAGAACAAAAACAATTTAAGCTGCAGTTGGTTAAATGTGAACTTGATTGATGAAATTTGTTTTATAAAAAGGAATTAGCAGATATTGAAGTCAAGTTGTGGAATGAAGGTCAAAAATGCCCAGCTTTATTGTCCAAGTACAACCGACAGCAATGCCTTTGTAAAAGCCTCACCTGAGCAATTGAAGATAAACATTTGAGTTTTTATATGAAAGGAGAAGAAAGGCTACAGCCAAGGCTTTAAATTCACACTATGATCTAGTAATTTGAAAACACTGAAATCCATCCTTGAAGTACTGATACTTCACTCAAGACTTATCCACTGTGCTTCATCTGTGTTCCCAGCACTGCCTTGAGCAAGAAGCTAGAACTCACACTTTTAGCACCTATTTTAAGGAAGAAAGCATGTCTGATCATCGACTCACTTTCCCCACAGAATTCTAACACAAAATGGAAAAGTTGAAGCCCAAATTCCTTTAAGGTATAAAGGGACGTAACTGACGGTTGCCTTGAGGCCCCGGGCTGGGAATATTCTGATTTGAAAAGTCAGAGCCATCCAAACCTGCAGGCTGATTTCTTTCTTGTGCATAGAAAAAGTTCCATCTCACTAATGGATTGGGGGCAGGACATGGGATGTGTTTGGAGGCTAGTGATGGAGAAGATGTTCATTTCAATCTGAGCGTGGCTGGGGGTCGAGAGGAGGGCAATGAGTGAGACAGAGGACGATGAATCATCCGTTCTTCTGACGTGGGCACCAGCCCCGCAGGGAGTGTGGGTGGACTTGATGGACTCAGAATCTGTGTGATGGTGCCCCAAAGGAGTGGAGGTCCTGCAAACACTGGAGCCAAACAGATCTAGGTTTGATTTCTGTCTCTGTCACCTAATAGCCATGTGACTTTGGGCAGGTGGCTTAACCTTTCTGAACCTCAGTTTCCTCATCTGTATAATGGGAATGACAACATCTACCTTGTAAGGTTGTACTAAATAAATAAAATTCATGTAAAGCACCTCACACAGTGTCTTGCACATAGTAGGTACTCAACAATGTGGTAGTTCCATATCATTCTATATGGTCAGTGTAACCTAGATGTCCTTGTGTGGCCAATTGTAACTTGATGGATTGCAATGGCTGAAAATTCTACAGCTAATTGGATTCTAAATTGACTTGTTTATACCATTTAAAAACAATAGAGAAATACATTGTGAAATTAAAATTATGGGAGGACTTCCTATAATGGAATTTGTTTTGTTTTGCACTTTAAAAATTAATCTTTAAAAATTCCATTTTGCCATTTTCAGTTGCCAGGGTGTCATTGGCAAGGACCTCGATAGAGAGAGATGCTTTGTCATCTCCTTTATCCACAGGTACTTATTTTATTTTATGCTTGCATTCTGGCTCACGGAGCCTCTATGCTGGCAACATGTTGGATGATAAATCCATTTGTTTGGGCCACTTCAGGAGGGAAATTTGCCCAGAGTACTAGCTGGAGCTGGCTTTGGAAAAAGCCAAATTAGGTCTCCAGCAGACTGGGGTCCCTTCCAAATGAGTTCCCAGTGGGCAGGGAATGTTCAGTTCTGTACAGTGCGCAGCCTACACCGCAAGCCCCCAAACCATGTTAAACAAAGAAGACCCATCCATTGGCAGTTACGTCGACTGGCAGATATCAGATTGCATTCCTTTGTCTGTTGTTCAGCTTATTTTCATACCCCAGTCCAACCCTTGTACAGGAACAAGCTTAAATGCTGACAAATTTCCCCCTCCATAAGAAATTGCTCCTGCAATTTGTCTTTTTAGCTGAGCTTCTGTGGGCCTGTGTAGCGTAAAAAAAAATGTTGTCCTTGTCACCTGCCATTTTTTTCCAGCCAGCCTGACACCCCCAGGCTTCCCAACAGCTCTCTCCAGCAGGAGCTGTCTCTGAGCTCTTAGCACCACCAAATAATTGAGGTTGTCACATCTCTTGTTCATTGTTTTTTCCAGCCCTGGAAAAATGCAAATATTTCATTGTAGTCATTAATTTTCCCATCCTTTTCTTCAAGCATCTCGCCGGTGTGATCTGATGAAAAGGGCTGAAGGCATGATTGCAAACACAGTGGCATCGGGCTCCTGCCCAGGGTGGGGAGAATCTCATCAGATCAAGTCTAGGGAGGTCATCAATCACGCCCGCTGACAACCATTTTGCCTTCGTTTGTTACAGATGTGAACATGCTTAATTATTTGTAGTGTAATTAGTTCATGAAATGTCAGGAAATGTCAAACTGTGTTCACAGCACAGATTTTTTTTTGCCACAAAGAGCGGCGAGAGCAAGTGTCAGTGGGAAATGAGAAGGGCTGATGAGAAGGGCTGAGTCTGCAGGCAAATGAGGGAATGGCTTGGGGGACAAATGAGGGTCAGAAATATTAAGATTAGGCATTTTGTAGAAGTAGACTACCCCCCCCCCCAAAAAAAATCCAGGTATGCATCACACAAGTGGGATGTGACAAGGCAGACATTCTGCCAAGTTTCTATCAGGGGAGTTCGGGTTGGAGATTTTGTTCGCCTTGAGTTTAAAAGCAGTGGATTTTGATGTAAAACGGTGTCAGGTTTGAAAAAAAAAGATCTACACCTGGGGAGGCAGATTCTTACTTATATTCCTTATGCTAGAAACAGTTTCCTTTTCAAATTATGTATTTTAGGTGGAGAAAAGGTCAAGGTGTAAAGAAATCTTTGGATTAAGGACAAATTTTCTGCTACAGAGATAGCAAATACCTCTTTTCTGCAGCTTTGATGAAGGAAGCCTGCTGCAAGCTTGAGTGTTTATTTTCTTCTCCTCTGATGCTAGAGGCTGAGGAGTCTGTCCCTTAGTACCAGGGTGGAAAGATAGAGATGCTCTTGAGAGATTGGTCTTTTAGTCTAATGAGGCTTGATTTCTTTGCAGGGGCTCCAAAGGAAAAACAAACATACCCAAGTATTTAAATGTGACTGTGGCTCTGTTGATAAAACTGACACATTTTTTTTCCAGCGCCTAGATCTGTCTGGGGTTCTTTTGCAAAATAGGGGGTGGTGTAGATAGTTGACAATGCTCAAGCCAGAGCTCTCTAGGCCAAGAATGCGTTTGTTCCTTCTATGTAGGCACAGACTCTGGGTGCTATGAACATGCTCTTCAGATAAGCAACGTTCAGTGGGCTTTAAACTGCAAAACAACCTGTTCGTTGTAATCCAGCAACTCCGTGCTACTCCAAAATAAATGCTTGCAAGAAGCTAAAGGACAGTGAGTGGACTGACCATCTATCCTTGAATTTGTGGACAGCCCCCCACCCCGGTAAGTGAAGCACCACAATCTTGTGAAGGCAGAGCTGGTGGCCGAAGCTGGCCATGATGACAGGTTCTTTGTCCTCTGGTGGCCCCTGGGCATTTTTAATGCCCACACTCGGGGGCACTTAGCTTCCTGAAACCTTCCTGAAAACAGCCATCCTAAGTAGAGGAGCGGTATCTTTGGTTTCCCTCTGTTTCTCTACTCTCCTCCCCATTCCGAAACATTTTCGTCTGCTGAGAGAAAAGTTCCCAGGAACTTGCAAGCTTACCTGAGCTGTTAACCTCCGGAGTCTAATTAGCAACGT